CCACAGGGCAGCAAGTGTGTCCTATTTTTTCATTTTACTAAAAGTGCAGATTTCAATAGAAATTCGCACATTTATACATTAACCTTGTGACACCCCTCTAGCTGTCAATCAAAAAAACAGTCCTGTTACTTCCTGGTTTGGTTAGCTCAGTGGAGTTAAACTCGAGAGACAGCAATTGCTCAGAGTACCTGCCTTGCAAAGGCTTCTCAGTTAACTGCATTGGGTAGTCTGTGATTGGATGGTCACAGAAAGTCTGGGCGGGGTTAGAAGAGGAGGGCTTTTAAAGGCAGCAGCCAAGAGAACTGCACGTTTTACAAGCTGTTTTTAGATATATCCCCAAGAAAAAAAATGCATAATTAATTTCATGCATGTTTTATTGGGTAATACCTACTAAATGTCCTGGAACACATGGTGGATATGACATCCCTACATGTTTCTCCATCAGCAGCTACTGTACACAAAACACAATAAGTTTAACTAGAAAAGCTACAATTTCTGGGGAAATTGTGTGAAGTGTTCTTGCCTCCACCAGTAGTCTACAACTGGAGTGGGCGACGTAACTGTTATCATTTATATAACACATTTAATTGCAACGTTGTTGCACAGTTACATTAAACTTACATTTATAAAAACATTAGCAGGTGTTCAAAAGGCCCTGTCTATGACATCTCTTGCTGCTGGAGCCTGGCACAGGTCAGAGTATTTTGGCGATTGCCATCTTCAAACGTTCGTATTTTAAAAACTATAAAGCCTACAGCGAAGAGCTTTATATTGTGAGAATCACAAGACCCAGACCTACATTTTGATGCATAGTATGTCTCTGAAGTATTAAAAATGAAGGCACAGTCGCAGTTTAGAAATTGCACTTCAAATTTGAGATTTGTAGAGTGAAGTTTCAATGAATGTCAATGGACGGCGTTTGTTGCAAACAAATGATTATATTGTGAAAACTATGGCTTAGCCGTTGACATGTTTAGTGGCAGCAGGGATAGCTGAACGTTTTGATATAAGATTTGTGTAGGTGGGCCTGAAAATAAGGGAGTGGTGGCAGTTTAGAAATCATGTCCTGATTTTTCAGCTTTTGCCAGCTCCCACTCTAGCTTTGCCATTCATTCCTATGGGACAAATTTCGCCACAAGAACGACGATATTCCGTGAACCATTCGGCGAAACGTTCCACAAAGTAATAGCAATCCGATCGGGAACAATCTGCACGTTTTGGTAAATTTTGGTCTATATAGTGTAAAAACTGTGGGAGGAGTTAGGGTGGCAAATTTGGCTATAATAAGAATAAGAATATATATGTGAGATAACAATAAGTGGTCTTGCTATGCAAGAACACTTAATAATAATATTAATAATAATATATATGTGAGATAACATTAAGTGGTCTTGCTATGCAAGAACACTTAACTAATGGAGTGGTAACTGAAAGAGCAGTGCATTTTTTGTTTCTTTGAGATTCTTTGTGAATTGGAAAGCACACATGCAAGCATACTAAGAAGTATGCTAGTTTTGAAAATAACCCATACCTTGTGATTAACTTGTTACATTGCTTAACTTGCAATGCTACATTTCTTTTAAAATTAATTGAAATTTTAGTAAATGACATCACAATACATTTTAGTTTGTGCACATCCGAGGCACACGTTTCTAATTAGTAAATAAATAGAAACATTAATTTATCTTCTCTGTATGTTTTCTTTATGCTGATTGTAACAATCATTGACAGAGAGTTAAGCTGGAGGGACCCAGTTGTAGGTTAAAGATGTTGTGGATTTCTACATTTAATTTTATTGTAACACCTCATATATATTTGTTTTTAAAAAAATTGATATAGAAAATCCTGGGAAGTGGCAATGTCTCTTTAATGGTTACCTGTACTTCAATCTACAAAGTTGTGTTGCATGCAGCACAAACAGAGGGACAGAGATATAATTAAGCATTACTTGCAACATCACCTCTGTCAGACCTATAAAAGCCCGTGTGTAGTCTAATCCAGCGCTCATTTGTTTGGTTTCAAAGCTGTTTATTGTGCATGAAGTATAGCAATTTAGTACATGCAATTTGATAGTTTTTGAAGATGAGACACGCACGTCCAGCATATTCGAGTGTTGTAGGTTTTTTTTTGCGTTAGTATTTTTCACTAAGCAATTATTAGAGGAACAAGATATAGTAAAACACATTTTTTTTTTCTTCCCCCCCAACGGAGTGTGTCGCATGACTGATGCCTTTCCCATGGATATCTAGAACCGTTAACGGCTTTGGGTGAGTAAGTCAGTTATTAGGTAGTTCTAGTACCTGGAGATGGGGCCTATGAGTCCCTTGCTTGGGGTGTTAACATCGTGTGTATTAGCGTTCCAGGACCTGTACCGCACCTCCAACATGTGTTGGGTACCTCCGGGAATATTCTGTGTAAGATATCTGGTGTCTTGTGCCAGAATGCCAGCACTTTATAGTTTGCTTCCTGGTATCTTGAGCTAGGGGAGCATTTATGATGTAGAATTAGTATTTTTTCCCATTGGGAGTCAGAGAATGTTTTGGCAAGCGTCTGTTCCCATCTTCGTCTGTAGGTATTTTTGGTATCGAGGTGTCCCACCAAGAGGTGTTGATATAGGAGGGAAATGGCCTGGTCTAGAGAGGTTTTGTTGTCGCAGAGGCTTTCGAACCATGTTAGGTCTCAGTGTATAGTGTCCCTATTCGGGAGGGATTGGTAGAAGTGTTTGAGTTGTGTGTATCGAAACGTTTGAATGCTTGTCAGTGGGAGGCCGTCCATCAGTGCCCATAGTGGTTTTAGGTCCGCGTTTAATAGTGCTTTGTGTATGGGGAGGCTTTCTCCTTCTCCCACGAAGGTCCTGCTTTGTGGTGGCGCCCCTCTGCCGATTGAGTTGTGTGTATCGAAACGTTTGAATGCTTGTCAGTGGGAGGCCGTCCATCAGTGCCCATAGTGGTTTTAGGTCCGCGTTTAGTAGTGCTTTGTGTATGGGGAGGGTTTCTCCTTCTCCCACGAAGGTCCTGCTTTGTGGTGGCGCCCCTCTGCCGATCTTGGGGTTGTGTTGCACCTGGATCAGCGGGCTCGGGTGGGGGACAGGTGGAGGGCCCCTCTGATGCTATCCCATGTTCGTAGTGTGCAGGCCACGGTGGAGCCGGGGTCGAGGGTATTTGGTGTTGAGCGTCCTGTGTTCCATATGGACGGGATGAGGGATGGGTGCATTTGGCCTTTGTCCAGGGTGACCCATTGTTTGTGCCTTTGGTGAACGTGCCAGTCCAGTATTCTCTGTAGGGCGGGCGCTTGATGGTATTTGCGTAGGTCGGGGAGAGCCAAGCCCCCCATGCCCTCGGTAGACAGAGCAGGTTGTGGTGGATACATGCTTGGTTCCTGTTCCACACGAAGTGGATCATGGCAGTTCGTAAGGAGGAGAAGAATGCTGTTGGCAGGGCTAGGGGTTTGATAGAGGTAGAGTAGTCTGGGTAGTACATTCATCTTTAATATTGCTATTCTGCCAAACCAGGAGATATAGGGGTATGACCATTGCACCAGATCTCGCTGGATTTGCTGAAGGAGGGGGAGGTAGTTTGCCTGGTACCGGGATTGTGTGTCTGTGGTGATGACTGTTCCAAGGTAGCGCATCCTGGACGGGCACCACCGAAAAGGGGAATTAGCGTTTTAGGGCATTAGCTTCCAACGCGGGTACCGTGAGGTTAAGTACTTCGTATTTCGTTGTATTTAGCCTGATGTCTGACAGTTCTCCGTAAGTCTCGAATAGTTCCATTAATCGTTTGAGTGTATCTTCCGGGTGGGTGATGAAGAAAAGGAGATCGTCTGCATAGGCAGCTACTCTGTGCGTTGAGGATTTCCATGTGTAACCGTGGATATCCACCGTTTTGTCTGACTGCTTTCAAGAAGGGCTCCAGGGATATTGCAAATAGCATGGGCGAGAGTGGGCAGCCCTGTCTCGTGCCATTCCATATCGTGAAAGAATCCATTAGTGCGCCATTTACCTGTACCCTGGCATTTGGGTTGTTATATAGTGCCATGATCCATTTCATCATGCTTGCGCCAAGGCCTATCTCCCGGAGAGTGATCATGAGAAACGGCCAGCTCACACGGTCGAATGCCTTTTCAGCGTCGGTTGATAAAAGGAGGGTTTAGTCTTTGGTTTGGCGTGTTAGGTGTTGGATTGACAGGGTCGTAAGGTACTATCCCTAGCTCTCCTCCCGGGGATGAAGCCTGTTTGGTCCAGGTGGATAAGTTTCGGTAGCAGGGTGCCTATTCTATTGGACAGTATTTTCGTGAGGAGTTTCACGTCTATGTTAAGTAAGGCTATTGGCCTATAGCTGCTGCAGAGTTCGGGATCTTTCCCCGGCTTCGGGAGGACAGTGATGGTGGCTGCCAGCGATTCCTGGTGGAACTGTGCTTCTCCCGTGAGGGCGTTGTAGGCTTGGGTGAGTTTCGGGATTAGTATGGGCTTTAATTTTTTGTAATATTCAAGTGTAAAGCCATCTGGTCCGGGTGCCCTCCCTGTTTTGGCCGCTTTGATCGACCCCGCTACTTCCTCTTCCGTTATTGGGACTACCAAGGGTTCCTGTTCGTCCGGTTGGAGCTTTCTCTTGATGAATTTCGTTAGGTATTCCTGTATCCTGCGTTGTTTATCTATGGCTTCGGCCTGTTGGCCGGGATTTGGGATATTGTACAAAGTGGAGTAGAAAGTTCGGAACTCTGCGGCGATCTTATCTGGGAATTAGGTTACCGTACCGGTAGCGGTTCGTATCCTGTGAACTTGGGCCAGTGTTTGGGGTCCCCTAAGCATTCTCGCTAGGAGTTTCCCTCCCTTGTTAGCATGTTGGTAAAAGAAGGTCTTCGATCGTTGTATGGTTCGGTAGTGGCTACGGGTTATGTGTTCTCTCAAGAGTCTACGTGCTTCCAATAATGCAGCGTAGGTTGATTCAAGCTGGGATAGTTTGTGTTGCGTTTCAAGTGTTGTTATTTTGTCTATTAGTTCAGACATCTGTTGACGGGATTCTCTTTTTTTTTTTGGAAGCTAGTCTCATCAGTGTGCCCCTGATGATGCTCTTATGTGCTTCCAGGATAGTGGTTGCCGTGTGCTCGACTGTCGTGTTCAGATCAAAGTACGTGGTCAATGCCTCAGATACCCTTTCACGTGTCTCCAGGTCTAGGAGGAGGGAATCTTGTAGTCTCCACGTCCATGTTGCGGGTCTTACTTGTGGGGAATCCATCGCCAGTGTGACTGGGCCGTGGTCCAACCATAGGGCAGTTCCAATCTCCGTCGATTGCAGTGCCGAAAGCTGCTCTTGTTGCAGGAATAGATAATCGATCCTCTCGTAGCGTTTGTGGAGGGCAGAGTAGTGGGTGTATTCTCTATCAGCGGGGTGTGTTGCTCTCCAGCAGTCCACCAGTCTCAGACCTCAAAGAGCCGTGTGGATGCTCCGTATTGCCCCCTGCGGGACACTACTGTGGCCCGTTGAGGAGTCTAGAAGCGGGTGTAGGGGGACGTTGAGGTCGCCTCCTACAATGAGTGTTCCTTCTGTGAATGAGGAGAGCTTGTAGAGGGTCATGCGGATATGTTGAGCCTGGTTTTGGTTGGGTACATAAAGTGTCGCAAAGGTGTATTTGCGGTTCTGTATTTTGCCTTTCAAGAAGAGGTAGCGGCCCTGAGGGTTTGTGGATCTGTCCAGTTCAGCACTCATTTGTTATAGCCCAATATTATCAACAGATCCCTGCTGCGTTTCTTTGACACATGTACATTTTCCTTTTTTTTTTCTTGCATCTTTCCTGGCCCATGTGCACGTTTGTCCATGTTTGTACTCTTCCACTATTCTCCTACTAACCTTCTGTGAGGTCTCTCTCCATCCCAGGTATCTCTACAGTAAGTGACCACCATATGGATATGCAGTTCTATGCTCTTAGACTCCAGTCATCATACAACTTTCTACTATAAGATATATATTTGTTGGGGACGGGACTTGACCACCAAGCTGATTGGATGCATCTCGACAGAGTTTAGAGTGAAATGTGATAATCCATTATCTTAACTACTCATTTTCTTTTATATAATGACCTCCATAGTTTGCTACTACCTGGCACTCTTGTTGGGTTTGGTGGTTCCCATCCACAGCCTGCAGCCTACAAGTGGGGAGGCAACCGATCCCTCTGCCACTGGACTCTCTGTAACCCACAGTACCTGCCTGGGTCCATTCTTCCCCACCGCCTGTTGGTAAGCGTGATTGCGGCACATATATTTCATTGGACTGAGTAACTAAACAAGCAGGCTGCAGATGTGAGGCCCTTTATGCAATGGTGGACATAAACTGACCACTCAATGCCAGAGACCACATCCTGACCAGACTGGACCAGTTGTTCGCTAACTTCTGGACCAAGCTTCAGTGACGACTGCACCCTCCAGGGAACAACAAGCTGACCTCCACTGTCCAGAGTCCCATCTTGTGCTTCCAGAGAAGCCTTCTATATGGGGTCTACTTCTCCACAGTGGCCGGTGTACTCCAATAACGGAGACCTTACTGGAACATGGTGTGCCCCTGCCTCCAAATGACGTGGACTGTCAGGAGTTCCTAAGGTCACGTTCCCACAGAAGGGGGTTTATTAGAGGAATAGGGATGGAGTTCCTGACGACCCTATTATCCTCAAGCATCTCCCTGTTTCAGCCGCTGGATCTTAGGTTCCTGAATCTGCCACAGGGCTATATATTGTCTAGAGCTGGCAAGGGTTAAAAGAAACTTGGGCTTTAGGCCTTCCTATTGAGTGATTATTGACCAGTTCTCGGTTATTAAAACTTTTCCCAATTAGACCACATCACTGCAGCCACTAAATGTTAGCAAGACTGCTCATATTGGTTCATGTTCTTTTTTCTGTTATTTTTCTTTGGCATCTGCTTTTGATCTCTACTCATTCTCATCCTATAAAACTGTCCTAACTAGCATGTGTTAAATCCCCCAAAAATTTTTGTTCTACAACCACTATCAACCATGCTTTCATATATACTGTTATAATTAAAAAATGTGCAGTAATTCAGACATGTCCTATCTTGTTGACACTCTCTCATGATATCCCATGAAATGGCTTTGATATTCTGTGACCTAGTGGCGTAGCTAAAGCTTTTGCCTCCCAGGGCTGCCCTTGAGTTTGCCGTCCCTATCTCTACCCATGTCATGTCTGGTGCAGTCGAGAACGTCCATGGCTGCACCAGACATACCTCTTTTAAATACTCAACGCCTCTAGCTCAACACAGTTTACAACCTTTTCAAGCTTCTTTTTAGATATACAGCCAATGATTACATGCATGAAAAATTGAAGATTATATTAGCTTTAGTGTACTAATAATCTTAATTTTAGTAATGACAGGAGGCGAATATTTGCATAACTCTCTTTACTGAAAATCTCCAGCAGCACAGTAACAGAACAACCAATCAGAAAACAGTCAGTAGGTATACAAAAGGCCCTGTCTATGACATCACTTCCTCTTTCTTTGTAGCGAAAAACAACAGGTAATAAACACATGTAACGTAACCATAAACATAAGTTCCAAAAGTTCAATAAAACAGTAGTATTCCAATTCCCGATAGATCTTTTGTGTAGAAACACGGGAAGCGAAGCTTTCTCTTGAGGGTAAGTCAATCACACTGAAAGAAAAAGAGAAAAGTGAAAGGTATCTGAAGTGGCAAGTTGCCCGCATATAATGAACATTATAAGCATGAAACAACATATTATGCTTGATATGAGAAATAGCTAATTGATTCAATTAGTCCTACAACTATGGCAATGAAATATACAATAATTTACTCAGATATAGTCCTCAGAAAAAATGTAATTAACACCATCATAGTCTAAAAGAACCTACAATATGGGAGGGCCAAGTAGGGTGGGAAATATTTGCCTCCTGTCATTACTAAAATTAAGATTATTAGTACACTAAAGCTAATATAATCTTCAATTTTACCACATGACAGGAGGCTTCATATTTGCATTTTTAATGCTGAGGATTAACCAAAGTGAAAGAAGCATGAGATGTCTGACGAAAGTAAAACGTCCTGAACGTACTCTCGTGTGTCCAATCTGCACAACGCATAATATCTGCAAGAGAGGCTCCTGCCGATAAAGCTTGTGAGGTGGGCCCACCTCTGACGGAGTGGGCCCCAAAGCAAGATGCAACGCTGGTTAGCGATAGTAGCCAGCGGACCCATCTGGCCAGTGTCGTCGTGGTCCAAGAGCTTGTTGTTGATGCGGATCAGTGCAGGTTTGTGTCTTTCGGCGCATAGTGCGGCATTTGCGTTGCCCAGGAGGCATATTGAGTGTTGAGCCCATTCTCTGATGGTGTTAGGGTCGAGTTGTGTACCCTGGTTGAGCGCCAGATCCACAAAGTAGAGCATCTTTGCAATTGGGCCGAGCAAGTCAAGTACTTTATCTTGCGCCGCCTTCAGGCCTTTCTCCACACCCTTGCGAGGGTCTCGTCCCGCGCGTGACATAAAGACTACAACCATGTTGTCGAACTCGGGAGTAATTGCCACTTTCTGGGGCATTCGGCTTTGAGGCATGCGCGAACCTCCTTCTCCAAAGGTTTGCACAGCCAACAGTGCACGAAACGTGCCAGGTGATCAGGGAGGCTCCACTCTGAAGACCGTGGGTGTCGGATGTTGCGGGGGTCGAAGAGTGGGGTCCCTTGTTCATCCAGGAACGTTCCGTCTTCGGCCACTCTGGTTTTAGGGCCGCTTGGGCTATCTCTGTCCTGGCCGTCATCACCGATTATCGTTTCCCTAACGTACTTCGAGGAAGTGTGGGGTAGGTCTTACCATTCCTCTTCCTCTGATGGTGATCTGTCTTCGTGCCACTCATCTACCATGTCCAGGGTGTGCGGTGCGTAATAGTCTTCCTCGTCGGAAGATGGTGGCGGACGAGGTTTGGAGTCCTGGTGTTCCGTCCGCTTGGTCCGTTTGATGGGTGTCTTGCCCTTGACCGTAGTGGTAGGGGGGCTGGTGCCCTTCCATTGCCGCTTTGACTTGGAGACTTCTGAGCCTGAGGCCTCCATCAAGTCTGAGGGACTTGCGTCACCTTGGGTTTAGGGCAGAGTTCTTAACAGAGCCTTCTCCACTGAGGCCGCTACTGTGGCGTTTATCATTGCCTGAAAATTTTGGGTCGGCTGTTGAGTGTCCTCCATGACTCGTTCCCGTCCTGTTGGGAGACAGTGACAGTCAGTGAGAGTAGTGGTGGGAGGGTCAGCACATAAGGGTGCCAGACTCCTGGTACAACTGGGGATCGTCCAGGTTAAATGGTCTGAATTGCCTGTATTTTAAATTGTCTGAGTGTATGAAATATGACAAGTTTAGAGGGATCGCTTCTGCAGGAGTGACTGTCTGGTAGTGGTGTTAGTCTGGTCCGTTGGGTTCACCACAGTTGTTTGCCAGAGCTGTATGCACGGGTTTAACCATCAGAGGTATTCTAGAAGTGTGTGGAGGCTTGTCCCCTTAAGGTCGGCATCCGCAGGACCCTCGTGCATTTGGCTGGGGTTCACCCCAGGTGGTGTGCCCAGAGGACACCCACGTTATAATTATTGGCACATTACAGGCATTGCATGCATATCTTGGGGGGTCACCCCAGGTGGTGTGCCATGAAAAAAAACCCAGAGGACACCCACGTTCAAAATGTACACTGGTACAGTAAATATATATGTATCCCTGTGAAGGGTACTCTGTAATACACTCAGTTTCCATAATGATTCTGCATGCAAACCATATCCAGCAAGTGGAGTGGTATTGTGGTACTGTATTGTAAAACTGACAGGCAGTGTTTAATCATCCAGTATATATGTATGGGAGAATCTTAGTTTATCTGAGCTGTGTATAGTGAAGCCAAATCCTTATAAAATACAATGCTGAAGGTGCAGATCGGGTGATTCCCAACCTGTAAAAGTAGAGGGGGAAAATTGGCCGCCGTGAATCTCATCCCCATACAGTCAGTGATATGCAGTACCCGATCCTCAATAGGTGAGGGAAAAACACATCAGGCAGTGTAAAATAAGGAGACAATGGAAATAATAAATTACCCTAACACATTACTATAAAATATAAGGAGGAACAAGTATAGGAGAGCCAGGGGGTATAGGGCAAATAGAGAATAGGAAAAAATAATTACAAACAAACTTTTAAATAATAAGTAATCAGGAGAGATAAAATACTCTGACCTGTGCCAGGCTGGAGCAGCAAAGAAAGAGAAAGTGATGTCATAGACAGGGCCTTTTGTATGCATTCTGACTTTTTTCTGATTGGTTGTTCTGTTTCTGTGCTGCTGGTGATTTTCAGTAAAGAGAGTTATGCATATATGAAGCCTACTGTCATGTGGCAAAATTCATGCATGAAATTCATTGGGGAAATATCTACTATATACAGTGATTTTTGGGGGAGGTGGGTTTGCCCATTTGGGCAGGGTTTTCCTTTAAATAATTATTGTTACTGAAGCGCTTCAGAGGGGATATGTGAGGTAGGGAGGGGGGAAGAGGGGATCTGTGCAGGGGAAGGGAGAGGGATCTGTGCAGGGGAAGGGAGAGGGATCTGTGCAGGGAGGGAGGGAGAGGGGATCTGTGCAGGGGAGGGAAGGGAGGGGATCTGTGCAGGGGAGGGAGGGGAGGTATGCATGGGAGCCAGGGGAGAAGTGATATGTGCAGGGAGGGGGGCTGTGC